AAGGAATGTGAGCAGCTTCTAGGAGAAAAGTCTAGTCCTCAGCTGACAGTAAGGAAATGGGGTCCTCTGTCCTACAACTGAGAAGAACTGAATTCAGCCAAGAACCCAGATGAGCTTGGAAGCAGATTCTTCCCTAGAGGCTCCAGTGAAACATGCACTTGGTTTTGGCCTTATGAAACAGCTTGATTTTGACCTTGTGAGACTCTAAGCAGAGGACTCGGTCAATTCCAATCAGACTTCTGACCTATGGAGATTGTCAGACAACAAATGGGTATTGTTTTAAGCCACTAAGTTTGTGGTCATTTGTTATAGCAAGAGAAAATTCATACATTATCCAATATGAACAGGAGAGAGAAAAAATATTTTAAAAAGAACAGTCTCAGGAATCTATGTATAATATCAAAATGTCTAAGGTTCATGTCATCAAAGACAGAATCAGAAGAGAGTATGGTGCAGAAAACAATAGTTGGAGAAATAATAGCTGAAAAGTTCCCAAATTTTTGAAAGACACAGAATCAAGAGGCTCAATGAACTCCAATATCGATATCCTGAAGAAATCCACAACCACATACATCATGATCAAACTGTCGAAAACCAAAGACAAGGAGAAAATCTTGAACGCAGCCAGAGAAAAATGAATCATTACCTATTGGGAAACAACAATTAGAATGACAGTGGATTTCTGATAAGAAACCATGCAGGCCAGAGGGCAGTGGAACATTTTTAAAGTGCTGAAGGAGCAAAAAACCCTGTCAGTCCAGGAGGCTATACCAGTTAAAATAATCCTTAGGAATGAAAACAAAGTAAAGAAATTGTTCAAATGAAGGAAAGCTGAGATTATGCATTGCCAGAAGATATCCTCTAAAAAATTGTTAAAGGAAGTTCTTCAGACAAAAGAGAAATGATACCAAAGGGAAACTTAGAATTTAAAGAATAAAGGGGCTAGGCTTGGTGACTCATTCCTGTTATCCCAGCACTTTGGGAGGCCAAGGTGAGAAGATCTCTTGAGCACATGAATTTGAGACCAACCTGGGTAACATGGTGAGACTCCATCTCTACAAAAAATAAACAAAAAATTAGCCTGGCATGGTGGCATGTGCCTGTAGTCCCAGCTACTCCAGAGGCTGAAGTGGGAGGACCCCTTGAGCCTAGGAGTTCGAGCCTGCAGTAAGCTGTGATTGTGCCACTGTACCCCAGCCTGGGCAACAGAGTGAGACTCTGTCTCTAAAAAAAATTAAATAATAAAGGAAGAACAATATAAATAGTAAATATTCTCCTCTTAAGGTATTTAACATATTTAACATATTATAACACTCATAGGATTTTCAATATATGTAGATGTACCACATATCACAAGTACAACATAAAGTAGAGAGGGGTAAAGAGACCTATTAATATATGGGCAAGGGATACTCAACCTGTACTTATTTCATTCATAAAAATAAAAATATATACATATAAGATCTGTATGTGGAAAACTAAAAACACTGATGAAGGAAATCAAAGACCTAAATCAATGGAGAGACATACCACGCTCATGGATCAGGAGATGCCACAGGGTAAAGATGTCAACACTCCTCAAATGGATCAACAGATTTAACACAATTACAATCAAAATTCCAGCAGGATTTTTGTTGTTGTTGATATAGACAATTCTAAAATTTACATGGATAGGCAAAACTAGAATAATCAAAACAGTTTTTGAAAAGAAGAATAAAGTTGGAGGAACTATACCACTTGATTTTAAGGCTTACTATAAAACTGCAGTATTCAAGATAGTGTGCATTGGTGAAAGTAAAGATTCACACATCAGACAGAGTAGAGAGTCCAAAAATAGACCTACACAAAGGTGCAAAGGCAACTCAATGGAGACAGGATAGCTTTCAACAAACAGAGTTGGAACCACTGGATATCCATATGAAAAAAATACAAGCCTCAACCTAAACCCCATGCTTTATACAAAAGGATCACAGAAATAAATGAAAAATATAAAACTTTAAAACATCAGAGAAAATCTTTGTGATCTGGTATTAGGCAAAGAATTCTTAGACATGACCCAAAAAGACCAATCCACAAAAGAAAAACTTGATAAATTATATTTCATCAAAATTAAAAACATTTGTTCTGCAAAAGACACTTTTAAGAGAAAGAAAAGGCAAGCTATTGACCGGGAGAAAATATTTACAAATTACATATTTGATAAAGGATTTGTATCCCAAATATTTAAACAATTCTTGCAATTCAACAATGAGAAAACAACTCAATTAAAAAATGTGCAATGATTCAGGAATCCATGGTCTAGACAAAAAAATAAAATAAAATAAATAAAAAATGTGCAAGACTTCAACAGATACTTCACCAAAGAGGAAATATGGAAAGAAATTAGGCACATAAAGAGATGTTCAACATCATTAACCATAAGGGAGATGCAAATTAAAATAAAAAAAGCTAATACCACACACCTATCAGAATGGCTAACATAAAAAAGTACTGGTAGTACCAAACACTGGTGAGGATGCAGAGAAACTGGATCTCATACAATGCTGGTGGGAACAGAAAAAATGGTTACTCTAGAAGTTTGGCAGTTTCTTACAAAATTACACATACCTTTACTACTTGACCCCGCTATCCCTACTCTGAATTATATCCCTTAGAGAAATGAGAACTCATGTTCACGCAAAAGCTTATACATAAATGTTTATAGTAACTTTATTTGTAATTGTCAAAAACTGGGAAGAACCAAAATATCCTTTAAGGGGTGAGCGTAAAACTAACCGTGGCCCATCAATACAATGACATACTATTCAGCTTCAAAAAACAACAGCATGGATGCATCTCAAAGATACTACGCTGAGTGGAAGGAGGCAATCTCCAGGTTATACCCTGTATGATTCTATTGATCTGACATTCCAGAAAAGGTACATCTACAGGGACACAGAACAGAGGAGTGTTTGCAAGAGGCTGGGGTGAGGGTTTGACCAGAAAGAGGAAGCAGGAGGGGATTTTTTTCAGGTGACAGAATTGTTCCATGTGGTGGTAGATACATGACTCTCTTTATGTGTTAAAACTCATACAAATGTACACCCCCAAAAGTTATTTTATGGTATGTTAATTTAGAATTTTAGAAAATGAAATAAATAAAACCAAATAAAGTTATTTTTTAAAATGCCTTTTAAGAAATTTTTCCATCTGGGTTTCTGCCAGAAAAGTTGCTTTGCTGGGGGCTCTGCCATACCAGCCCTGGGGTTCTGCGGGCCTGTTCTTCCATCCGTAAAACAGAGAATCAGTCTAGAACAGTGACAATCCTTCTTCTCCCTCAGCTCCCCCAGATCGCACCCCTGGGAACACCCTTTGTCAAAGTGGGGTCCAGGTAGGTTTGGAGAAAGGGCATTGGGCCTCCACTGGGCTCTGGACCCACAGTTCTGCGTCCAGTGGAGCAGTTGTGCTTTTTGTTGGTCTCATATGTTGTTTGTCTGAAAACCTCTGGATTAGAATAGCTGGTCGTGAGCCAGATCCTCCGGCCCTGTGGGGGTTTGGATAATCCTGGAGTCCAGAGGCTATCAGTAGAACCCACTTGTTTGTCCTTCGCCACGTGCCCTGTGGATCCCAGTACTCAGCCAGACCCAGGTGCTGGTTCTAATGCTCGGTGATTCTAAACGAGGCCTTTTGGGGGAAGCTGGAATTGTGCCACTTGCTTCAGGGCCCCTAGGTCACACCTGCATTAAACGCAATGGAGGTAGGGTCTGAAAGGACTTAAACCACTTCTTCTCCCCATCCCCCACACAGGGTGACTTTCTGGAGAGCACTTTATAAACAATAAAGGGCTGTGCACATGAGGATGACTGTGCTGACCTGGGACCGGCACAGCCAAAGAGTACATCATTTATATGACACCTGCTGTTTACACTAAGCAGGCACCATGGGACAGGCACTGTGCTAAGGAATCGTTGAATCTTCAAGACAACTCTGTGAGAAAATGGCTGTCACTGTTAGGACAGATGAGGACACTGAACCTTCCAGAGGCCCCAGGTCACATGAAGAGGAGATGACAAGGCTGGGTCCTGGGCCATTGCTCCAGCCTTCCAAGCCAAAGCCAGTGGGAGGGAACCCTGAAGGCCTAACGTCACACCTGCTTTCCTCGTGTGCCTTGGAGAAAGGGACTGATGCCTCCTGTCATCAAAGGTTGCTGGGGGATCGCTGAGCGCCCTTTGTGACCTTACCATGTACAACAGCACTCAAAATAAATGTTTTAAAAATATTTTATACAATGGAATGCTTTCTTTGAAAACTATTTTATGCATTAAGTCCAATGTAGAGAACCAGAGTTAGGCCACTGTGTGAAGGTGGAAGCAAGGGTGGCCTGGGACCCCCAGGACTCTAGGAGCACCACTTGAAGGCCACTTATCCAGTAGATTGGCACTTACTGTGAGACACACACAAGGTCCCATGATGCTTAAGGCTCTGGCTTTGGGTATGAAAGAATGAGGTGGGATTGTGGCAGACTCATTCCTAGGTTAGTTGGTCTAGGGGAGGGCCGCAGGATCCCAGGCCAGCCATATGCATTGGGTGCTGGTCTCTTTGTCCTGGGCACCACCTGCCTCATCCTAGCCCTTGGCCAGCAGCCATGGCCTGCCACTCACAGGGTGGAAAACTTATTTTCTCCATCTCACAATCAGTGAGTTTAATCTTTAAAGATATGCATTATGTTTTTTTTATTCTTTTTTTTTTTTTTTGGTAGAGATGAGGCCTTGCTGTGTTGCCCAGGCTGGTCTCAAATTCCTGGCCTCAAGTGATCCTCCCGCCTCAGCCTCCCAAAGTGCTGGGATTACAGGCGTGAGCCACCACACCTGGCAAAGATATGGATCATAAGGTTAAAAGCTATAGCAACTCTTTTTTCTTGCCCTCATAAAAGGCATCATCTGTGTTTTTCTGTATCAACCAAAGTAGAACGTTCCAGTTTGGATCTTGGCATATGATCAACAACAGATCTGTACCTCTGTCCCCAATGCAGGGGCTGGCGAGATGGCTCACAGGGGAATCATTGAACGGACTTCCTTCTCATAGATGTCAGGTATCACTCCCATTGGGGAGTTAACCATGTGCACGGTGTTCTTGCCAAACAGTTGGAACTCGTAGTGGATGAGCTGCTCCCAAAAGCCGTTGTTTGGTCGGATGATGGGCCGGCGTGACTTGGTCCATGTGTGGGCATCTAGGAGGGACATGGCATGGTATTTCATGAGGTAGGCCAGGCACAGGGCGGCCGAGCGGCTCACGCCGGCGGCGCAGTGCAGCAGCGTGCGGCCCTGCTTCATGTCCACACTGTGAATGTGGTCGGCAATAGGGTCAAAGAAATCGTAGAGACGCGAGGTGGGTGTGTCAGCCACAGGCACCTGCACGTACTGGATATCCTCGTATAAGGTGTTCACCACTTCCACAGAGACGTTGATGACTGTGGTGATCTGGCTGCTGGACAGCATGAGCTTGTTGTTGGCGGCCGCACCATTGCTGATATACAGGCTCCCGGTGATCTGCGACAGGCCGCTGACGGAGGGCTGCCGGAACTGAATCGGGAAGGCACACGGGGTTGCTGTCATCAAGGCGGTGGGTGAGCAGTCAGCGAGGCATGAGGGCTGCAGCTTTCTGCCAGGCTGTGTACACGGACAACTGCAGGGAAGGGGAGAATATTCAGAGGGCAGGAGCCCAGCAGGCCAACCCCAAGGGATTTCTGGGAAATGGCTGGATGAGCCTGTAGGATTCCCCAAGGTGGTCCTCTGACCATCACAGCCGACTTACCCAGAGAATGCACTAAAAATAGGCCCCTCCCCAGACCCACTGAGCCAGACTTCCAGGTGAGGAGCAGGAATCTGCATTTTCAGCATGCTTCTCCGGTGGTCTAATGTGTACTGCCCAACAGGACAAAGGGCAGGTCCCTGAGCCTGGCACTCGAGACCTCCCTTGAGGGGCCTCACATTTCTAGTTGGGCCAGTGCCTTGTGTCCCTCAGCTGTGCCCTGGCCTGATTTTCCATCTAGGCTTACACAGACCTCTTCTCCCCTCTCTTCCAAATTTTCTCCTTCCTTTCAGCCCCTCTGAGTGGGAACCACTTGCACAGTCTTCCTCCTCAGTCTTCTGACTTTATGCCCAAATCCTGAGACTCTGAGCCAGTGACATGGAATCCGGAGCCCCCTGTCACTGGAGGGAGTTGGTATAAGAGTGGGCAGGGTTCCAGGTCCCCCCACCCCCCGGACCCCAAGAACCATCTCTTTGAAGAGACAAGGATGTGCCCACGTAAAACTGATGTCAAACAACAAAGCCCTAAATTGTTAAACATGCTCCTGCATCTTGTCTCAGAAGAGGGCCCAGGGAAGGGAGTGGCTGGAAGCTTCCTGGAGGTCATCATAGTGGGCACCACAGAAACCCCAGGGGCAAGCGCGGGGAGGCTGTGGGGCCTCAGGAAGACTAGCCACACATGCACCACCATGCCTGCTGCAGGACTGTGGCATGTGCCCCAAGGAAGGGCAGACCCTGCCTTCTCCTAAGAAATCTTGGGCCCCTCACTTTCCCAGTCTTGAACAAAGCTTCAAAAATAACACTTCTTTATATGTCTCATTGAAATAGGGGCATATGGACTTAGAGTATACCTCTCAAGGCCAAATGGCAGTCTTCACCAGGCACAGACAATGAGGCACCAAAGTTGCATTTCCCTGCTTAATATATTTCACTGGCTGCCCGCTGTCAGGACAAGATGGAGCTCCTTAGCTTGGCTATCAAGGCCATTTGTGGTCTGGCTCCTGCCCATCTTTCCAGCTTCCTATTAGCCTTCCCCATGTCTTGAAGGGTCTCAACTAGAATGAGCCACTTACTGTTCCTTAGGGACATCCTGTCCTCTCTGGCCAGGGGCCTTTGCCTCTGCTGCTGCTCTCTCAGCCCAGAACCCCCTTTCCTTGAACCTATCAGATCCTGATCTGTTCCATTCAGCAGAGGACTGCAGAAGTCTGAGGAGCCTTGGGATCCCAGCCCAAAGGTCACTTCCTTAAGGGAAACCTCCTGGCAGCATACCCCTCCTGCACGTGTGATCAATTCCCTGCTCTAGGCTTTCTTAGCTCTACATTCTCTCTTTCCTAACGCTGAAGATGTGCTTGTGCCTTGATCTATCTGATTGTTTGATTAATGTCTGTCTCCCAGGACACTGTGAGCCCTTTAGGGATGTGACGGTATCTATCTTTACTCACGGTCTGTCACCCACCAGTGCCAAGCTCCTTGTCCCTGCAAGTAGGTGCTTGACAAATATTTGTCGAATGACTCCAATAACTGTGACTCTAACTTCTAACTTGAGAGGTGTTCTGGAAAGGATGAGTCTCTGGCTAAGATTCTCTAAAATTTCAGGGAGAGGTTGGGTGGGGGTGGGGTTGGGGTTGCTTCCTAGGCTGCTGGAGAGAAGGACAAAAGTTGCATAGGCCAATCCTACCTGCCAATGCCCCAGGGTCAAGTGCATCAGGTTCATCCCAGGAAGGGCAGATGGGGCTGGTTTGTTTTAAAGGTGATATGAAGGGCAAGGAAAAAGTCTCCAAAACCCAGGTGGAAGCCTAAATGCTAAGGAATGTTCTGGATCCTCATCATCAGAAAACCCATAGACAAGTGGACTGAGGGCTCCCCAAACCAGTACCCAGTGCATGACAGGAATAGAGGAATGTGCTCTTCATCACAAGACAAAAATTTGCAGAAGAGTCACTGCTTTTGAGGGTGAGTGCTGGGAGAAGAGTCATTTTCATGCTAGTCAAGAAACACTTATCAGGCACTGTATTAAGTGTTGGAGACACGGAAATGTATGAGACAGTCATATACTGTCTCTTTTCTCACGGAGCTCAAAGTCTAGTGGGAGAGCTAGACATTATGCAGGCAATTACAGACAGCAGAGCTGGAAAACAGAGATATAACAGGGCCTACCTTACAAGGATGTTTGAAGATTAAATGAGATGATTCAGGTAAAGTATTTCTCACAGACCCTGGAGTGTGCACCCTCTAAAAAGGAAAACTATTCTTGCTGTTGTTAGGGAAGTTAAAATGCAGGGCATTGTGGGAGTGAAGAGTAAAGGGATTAATTCCAGGCCCTGGGCCAGGGGGTCGCAAAGATCGCCTGAAGAAATGACAAGAGATCTGAAAAACGTTTAGCCTCAGGGGGAGGGAGGTGGAGAAATAGCAACTCAGGGGCTGTTTCACCACTTTATAGCCTATGAATGAAGGCTTTGGCTTCCCTGTTTGGTTCGATCTTCAAAGCAACTTAATCACACAAGAGTCTAGAATTAATACCTCCATTTTACAGAGGAAAGAGGCACAGAGAAAAAGGGACTTGCTCGGGATCACAAAGCAAAGCCCGAAAGCCGGTGTTTCCGGCTCTTTATGTGCAGGGAAAGGTCGGCAAACATCTCGGAATATTCGTTAAATGCTAGGTTATACACGTGGAACAAAATCCACGGGTTGAAGAGAGCGAGGCGCCGCTTGCAGGGGTGGGCCGGATAGGTTTCCTGGGGAGTTGGCATTGGAACAGGCTTCTTCGCCTGCTCGGTGTCAAGACCCAAAGGTCTTACCTCTCCCCGCAGGAGGGCGGGCAGGTCAGTTCAGGGAGCAGCCGCGCCGCGAAGCCTCAGGCAAGGGTCTTCGCGAGAGGGTAGACCAGTCACGATCCCGGGGCCACCATCCCCGCCGGGCCAGCGCTCTCGTTCCCATGGCAATGGTCCCTCTCCGCAGGAAGGAATCGCTCGTACCAGGTCTTCGGACAAATTCTGGCCTCCGCTCCGCGCCCCGGCGCAGCTCCGCTCCAGCTCATCTGGCTACCTGCCCCGCGATCACGCGGGGGCCACAGCAGTCCTCGTGGAGAAGCAAGATCGGCTCAGCCCACAGCACCCCGCCCCATCCCGCCCAACCCGTCTCCACGGCAACGCGCCGAGTCGCACCACGGTGGCCGCCGAGGGACAAAGCCTCCGCGTCCGCAGCTTCCGCGGCTTGGCGCGCAAGTCCTGCCCCCGAGTCCCGCCCCCTCGCCCGTCTCCCGGGCAACGCCCGGCTCTCAGATCAAGGCGTCCACCCCGGGACTCACTCCGCGTTCGCGCGCGCAGGTTGAGCATGGCTGGCAATCCGGCTTCCGTTTCTCAGCCGTCCTCGTGCGTGGAAGACCGGATGGCACAGCCGAATAGGCCCTCGGTTACCTGGGACCTGCGCCTGTCCACGGATTTTGGGTCCGCCGCCCAGGCGACCGGCAGTTCCTGCGCCACCCTGGGCTCGAACTTCTTCCCGCGCGATAGGCTCGGAAGGCAAGACATCGCCGCAGAGGTCCGCCGCAGATCTGCTTCCTGCGACCCAGGGCCGCGCAGGCGCCGGTGCTCTTCAGGTGCGGCCCGGATGCCCGGAGCTTTAGTCAGACCCTCGGACCGCTGAGGAGCCCGGACTCTCTCAGACCCGAGCTCCCTCCCTCAGGCGGACCCCGGTTCTGGCCCTCCTGGAGACCCTGGTCCCTCGGAGGACCCCAGGGGAGTCTGAATTTGTCATAGCCCCAGGCCCCAGCTCCTTCCCAGTCCAGCTCTTCTGACCTCCAGGAGCCCGAACGCCCTCAGCCCGGAATCCTGGGAGAAGCCGGACTTCCCGTCGCCAACCCACATTTCCTCCGCATTGGTCCCAGCCCTTCAGTCCTTCAGGCTGACATCGTGTGGCCCCAGGGCCCTTTGGGGTGAGCCCTGAACCTCCTTAGAGCTAGGCGAAGCCCAGGTCCACTCAGGCTCGAACCCGTCCCACACCCCTCTCCTTAGCCTCTGTGTTCCCACTAGCCCTGGAAAAGCCTCTAGTTCCGTCTGCCTAGACCCAATCCTCACAAACCCCACTTCCCCCCGTCCCCTTCCATTCCACAAACCCCCCTCATAGCATTTTCGCAGGCTCCCGCGGAGACTTGCGGTGGAAAGCAGTTTCGTTCAAAATGACCATGATTTAATACTGGAAAGGGAATATTTCCAGTCATTGCTCCCCCGCCTTTTCCAGTATTGGTAAATTTGGTGCACCACTGAGTGGATGAACTGTATTTTATGTGTCTTTAAATATTTCAGGTCTTTTTTTTTTTAAAAAAACCAGGATTTGGAGGACTTTTGTGTGTGAGCATCCTGACCTCTAATTCAGCCTTTTCCATCAGCTCATGCATATGCTGTTGTCGCAGTGCATCGAAGTCAAAAAAATGTAAATGGGAGGTGGATGTTTGATTGTTCATACTATTGATAGTTTGTAAATATAAAAACATTCACAGAGCTGTAGTTTCAAATGGGCTGAAATGAATTAGAAAACTCCAGTCTTTCAAAATGTTTTATCTTTTAAAAATTGTCTTTTTTGGTCCTAATTATAAAAGTAGTGTATACTTAAAGAAAAATCAAACAAGACAGACAAGCAAAATGAGTGGCCAGAGATAATCACTGTTAACATTTTGGTGTATATTGTTCCAGATCCACTCATAGATATGTGTTACAATATGCTTATACTTTTTTTAAAAAAAATACATCACAAAAAGTTCACTTTTAGTCATCTGCTTTTCCCCCATGTTTAATACACCACAGATGTTTGTTTCATACATGATTACATGTATTTTATTTTATGACATACCAAAATTTATTCAATTGCTTCCCTATTGTACATTTAGTTTCCAAATTTTAGAAGGAAGATATAAACAATTATTTATAGATGGGCAAAAACATTTAAAGGTATATATATTTGTAAAACCACTTCATGGTGGAACCAAATTATCAAAAAGTGAAAATTCAGTGCCTGGAAATATCCATTTTTGACCAAGTCCTCATTTTGGCCAAATTGTTCTTTTTTTACCTGGAACAGCTGGCTTCATTTTACTCCCACATCCTATCCTATGTTCCACCTCACACCTTCCAGAGTCTCCTGTAACTGCTATTCACCCCAAACTTCCTTTACTTTTCTAGACTTTTCCCAAACCCTTTTCCTTAGAATTTCCCTATTAACCAGCCTAACCTTTGTCTATACTCTTCATTTTCATTTTTCCCTGCTCTGATCTGCCACCCCGCCCCAGATCCCCCTTAGGCCTAGGCTCTAGAGCAAGTGCCTCCCACCTCAACCCCTCACAAATTGATCTCTCTGAACTCTGTGCTACAACTTTTTACTCCTGTCTGCTAAGATCCCACCTCTCATTTCATCCTGTGTTTTCTCTTTAAGATGACTGCTCCTGAGTCCCTGTTGACACTTCTCTGTGGACTTTTCTAGGCCCACTACATCCCTCCCAGGATGCTTTTCTTCTCAGCATCCAAGAAATACCCCTGTAGCACACCTTTTCCACAAGAAGAAACCTATGGTTACTCCCTTGCTCCTCTGAAAATTAGGACAGAGCTGTGCTTATTCTAAGAAAGCTGGGGAAGCCTCAGTCACTCCCTTGGGACCCCATCAAATCAGGCCTTGGCCCTTGCCCTGGCCCCAGGCATCTGTAACCTGTACCACCTTCCCTTCTCCCCTCCAGCTTAATGAATTACAGTGAAGCAAGAGTGAACAAACATTTACCCAAGAGCCAATTATCCCGGGTGATTATTCGTGACAACCGCAACGCACAACGGCTCTCTGAGATGGAGGTAAAGTAGCCACAAGCTTTTGCATTGGAGGGTGTTAGTGGCTGGACCCTTATTCATTTCATTCTCCCCACATTCTGGCGGGAGGAAGGGATCACAGATCAGAGAGGTGATAGGGAGTCACCGGGGTGTTCTAAGACAGGCCCCATTTTACAGAGGAGGCAATTAATACCTGGGGTTACTGACTTATGCAAGGTCTCATAGCTGTTCCTGGGCTGAGGGAGCCAAGGAGAAAGACTTCATGTCTCCTGGGTCTCGTGGCATTTTTTTCTCAAAGCACATTATCTCTCTGTGTAGGGAATCCATCAATGGATTCTTATTCTCTCCCATACAAAGTCTGGAGTCCTAGAGCCCGAATTGGCAACAACACTCTCTTGTTAGTTTTTTTCCTTTGGGAACTATTCCCATTTTCCAGATGAGAACCAAGTCTCTTCTTATGCTCTCAAGGGACCCTGATTGATTAATCCATTACATCTGTCTTTAGGGCCTGCTTGGGACAGGCACTGTGTTGGACACTAGGAAGAGACAAGTGAACAAGATGGAATCCAAGACGTCCTAATTTCTACAAGCACAGCAGGCAGCCCAGAGTCGAGCCGCTGCTCCCTTCTTGACTCTGTTGAGCTTCCCTCCACGTTCAGGGTCAAATCTAGATGGGTCCATGGGATTCTGACATTGAAGAGTTGGGGAGCCTTAAGAGTGGTGCCCGATCCTCTTGAGGGCCACAGAGACCAAAAGAACGGAGCCTTGGGTATTTCTCCCTCTGTTAAACTTCCGGTGGTGTGGTGTAATGGACATCAATGGGCAGGCTGGTTTTGTGTGATCTTGGGTGAATCACACTTCCTTCAGACTCTGTTTCCTCATTTGTACAGCAGGATCTATTAAGACCCCCTCAGTTGCAGGTGATATAAACTGAACTTGAACTAGTCCAAGCAAAATAGAGAACAACTGGTTTACAGAATCAAGGATGGATAGGGCAAGGTCGCCAACATTTGGGATGACAGAGGCCAGGGGATGTGTGTGTGTCTTCCACATTCCCTGTCTCCTTTGTCTGCGGCGTTCTGAATGTTGGCATCATCATCAGGCTGGCTGTCCCTGGGGAGCAAGGCTACAGGAAACCCCGGCCTGTTGACCACACAGGAAATGGAGCACTTCTGCTGTTGTTTGACAAATCCTGGAGAAGGACTCCAGTTGGCTCCAGTTGGGTCATGGGCTCATCCTTGCTTCGGTCATTGTGGTCAGGTGGTGTGGGGATGTTCTGAGAGGCCCAGGATGGGATGGGGACCAGCGCTGATAACCAGTGGGAATGTTGTACCTCTTTCAAGTAGAGTGAGGATCTCTGAAATACTGTAACTGGAAACTCCTGAGTTGGCTTCATGTGTACCTGAGGGCTACACCATCTTTCAGCCATCCAGAAGCTTCCTTTTAAAGATTGAGCCTTTATGTGTTTGATCCCTTATGTATTGTGTATTATTACCCCCATTAAATAGTTCAGGAAGCTGAGACTCAGAGAAAGAGAAAAAAGGGGATAGGGCTGCTCTGCAGGCCCCCTGAAGATTCCAGGAAGATTCCCAGAGCCTTTCTTCTCTCCAGGTACAATGCCAAAGGAAAAAGGACTTGTTGAAATAAAGTAAGAATAAATGCTCCTTTACTTACCATGGAGTTACATCCCAATAAACCCATCATAAGCTGAAAATATGAGTCAAAAACGCATTTAACACACCTAACCTACTGAACATCGTAGCTTAGCCTAGCCTACCTTAAACATGCTCAGAACACTTACATTAGCCTATAGTTGGGCAAAATCACCTAATACAAAGCCTATTTTATAATAAAGTGGTGAATATCCCCTTTTTTCTCTAAACTGTCCCCAGGAACTTTTTACCTCCTAGATCTCATCTAATGCAGCCTCTGTGAGCCTTACCTCAGTCCAGCCTCCAGCCACAATGCACCTTTCTCCCCTGGATGGCTAGCTTTGGCTGAGGGTCTTTGTGTCCCCATGCGGAACCTCTAGGTGTGGAGTGGACTCCCAGGTGGGAGGAGTTGGTATGTCAACCCAGGGAGTCACTTTATAAGCCACGAACTTACCTTTGATCGGGTGGACTTAGGCATCCCATTTTTTGTTAAAAACTAGAGGATATTGCATTTAAGTAGGGAACAAGAAGCAATGCAATTCTTGAGAGGCCACTTAGTAATTGGGAGGGAAGAAGAAGATTGAAAGGAAGAAAAATTAAGGAGGAATGGAGGGGTGTTGGATAGGAAGAGACTATGGGAGAAATGGAATCTTGAAACTAAGGAGAGACTGAGAGATTCTCTAGTCCAGGAATACACACACATACATGGTAGTCCATTCAAATGCAGTCTTACCTAGAAGCCCATTTCAGTAATCAAAACCATTAGCATATTAACATTCATTGAGCACTCACAGTGCCAGGCACAAGCCTCAGCTCTTTTCAGACATGATCTCATCGAATCCTTCCAACAACAAAAATAGGTAATTTTTTTTTTTTTTTTTTTTAGACAGAGTCTTGCTCTATTGCCCAGGCTAAAGTGCCATGGCGTCAGCCTAGCTCACAGCAAAAAAATAGGTAATTTTATTAGCCCCATTTTATGGAAGAGAAACTGAGATTCAGAGAGTAAGAATCCTGCCCAAGGTTGGACAGCTAGGCAGTGACAAAGTCAAACCCAAAGCCTGTCTCACTCTGAAGCCCTTCTCCTCAGCATGTTATAAGCTTCCTGTCCTTACCACTCCAGGTAGAAATGGAAGGCCTGGCAGCTGGAGACCTCTGGAACACAGATCAAAACCCTGATCCGTTCTTAGCTCCATGATTTCACAAGTGGTACTGTGGGAGCCTCAGCCGGAATGTCAGTTGCCTGAACTCACCTGGTTAACAGCAGAACTGGACTCAAACTCAAGTATGTCTTCTCCCAGGTGACTGAAGAACTTGTCACCCATTTGGGGATGGCTAGGCTGTTGGGGAGATTGGGTTAGGGAGATGTGGATGAGGGAGATGCTCACCCAGGAAGTGGAAGGATGGGAAACAGGAGCCCTGACCGCTGCCCAGGAGCTGTGGAAATATGATCTCAGCTTTGCCATTGGGACATCTTTGCAGAATAGCCCTTGTGCCTGAAGATCTATGATGTAGAGGACAGAAGAATGGTACTCTCTTTTAAAGAGTGCAAGTATTTTTGAGTATACCTTCATTTCCTGCTGAAAATACATTTCATTCCTTCCTCCTCTACCACCAAATACACTTTACTACTTTAGAGTACTTGCAAAAAATTCCCAGTTTAAAAACCTTACTGGACATACAGTGGACCCTATTTCTTCTCTTTCCAGAAGTTCTCCATGAACTGGAACAAAAGGAAGGGAACTTCTGTTTACTTAGCACCTATAATATATAAGCCATTTTATATCTTATCTCATTCATCCCTCAATACAAGACTTGCCAGTCATCACCCCCATCTTACAGATGAGAAAACCAAGTCACAGAAAGGTTAAGGAACTTGCTCAGGGCTAGGCGCGGTGGCTCATGCCTGTAATCCTAGCACTCTGGGAGGCCAAGGCGGGAGGATCGCTTGAAGGCGGGAGGATCGCTCGAGGTCAGGAGTTTAAGACCAGCCTGAGCAAGAGCGAGACCCCGTCTCTACTAAAAATAAAAAGAAATTAGCTGGACAACTAAAAATATA